CGAGTGACCGGTCCGACCCTTCCAACAATCGGTCTTTGACAAATTCCTAGGGGCCATTATGAATACAGAATTGGTTAAGCATCTCTCATCGCCGGTCCTTTCTTCAGACAAGCAATATGACATTCGTTTCTCCGAACAACCGCTGATGTACTGACGATAATTGCTGAAAGAGTCTATCATGCTCTAGATAAAAACGGTGAAGCCCGGTTTGTAACTTGCGTCATCTCGAAAACTTTCGACAGGGTTTGGCATGCAGTTCTTCTCCAGAAGCTGAAAGGTTAGGGTGTCCCTGGGCAAATCTGTGAATTGATATAATCTTTACTATCAAATCGTGAAATGAAATTTATTCTGAATGACCGCTCATCTAGACCTTTCCGTAGTAAAGCTGGCATTCCAAGGGATTCATCTTTGATCCTACTTTATTTTTAATTTTCATTAATAACTTTCCCGATGGCATCAGTTCTCAAATTGGTATCTACACTAACGACACAAACATTTACTCCTATTTTCATAGTTTGGTTTGTTTTACGGCATATCAATCCCAACGGGTTATTTAATGCTGACAAAATTATCATTGCTGGTAATATTTTGTTTTGTCAAAAATCTATTTCTGGTAATATTTTCTTTTTAAAAAATGTGTTGCTGTAATAAGTTTTCTCAAAAAACTATTGCTGGTAATATTTTTTCCTCAGAAATCTATAAGGTCAAAATTGCAGCCGATATGCAAAACGACATCATGCCTGTTGTTAATCTGAGCAAAAGATGTCTTGTTAAGAAAGTTGGTTCACTGTGATGTGCGAAAGAGTTTTTTTTTTCTCTCCGGAATATATTTTACATATCTATAAGTCTACCATTCGTTCATCCTTATGCTGCTACATATGATCAGTTGATCCTGTTATTTACCTAGGGTTCCTTGATAAAATCCAAAGAGGAATCAGCAATATTATCAGACCTGATCTGGCTGCTCGGCTTCAGTTACTTTCCCACTGCCGTAAGGTTGCCTTCCAGTGTCTTTTCTATAAATATTTTAATGGTAATTGTTCGGATGGGATCTTCGCTACGGTACCTAGACATTTTTTTTAAATTTAAGCGCAGGACTAGACTAGCGTTGAGATCTCATCAGTTTACAGTTGAGCTAGTTAGATGTAACCGTAAATTCTATGCTAACCGTTTCTTTTCTTGCACTTCTATCTTGTTGAACTCCCTTCCGGTTCCATAATTTCCAGCTAACTTTAATCTGCAAAACCATTATCTACTGTCCTCCTGATTATTTTCCGCTCTTTCGTAAAGTTTTTGTTCTTAATTCTTCACACACACTAATCCCTTGTGTTTTAGTGGTTTTACTGTCTTTTTTGGGGTTTAAATCGATTTTTAAAAAAGTCAAGCTCACCGCGCAAGATTTAACCAGTTCATATATTGACCATAGAGTTATGCCTGCAAGTAAAGCTGGTAATCGTAACTAAGGAAACAACTTAGGTAGTCGTGTTTTATATAATAAAGACCGACTGTTGTAAAATGATAATTCGTATCGGTTCAACTTTTATGATTTGTTTCTGATGTTTGAGCAAATGTTAAGGAACTTCATCAATTTGGCAGTTGTCGTTCGATTTCTTAGTGTTTATCTTGCTCTGCTATTAAATCAAGCATTGCAACGCAAAGGGCAAAAAAAGCGCTGAAGGAAACAATGGAATCGAAACAAGAAGAACTTTTGCATGAACTTTTGTCCTTATAAACGAAAAATCGAAAACTCATTCGTTCGTTACACAAAACGAAATAAAACTGCGATTTCACTAACAGAAGATCTAAGATCGAAAATCTCTAAACTCATTTCCCTGTTTTCATTGTGAAGATCTGATGAAAAATTTCCCGCAAACACCTATATATATATATATATATATATATATATATATGGGTCTTTGTTTGATATTCACTTAATACCGACTGCTTAAGTAAAAATATTTATAAGTTTGTTTGCTCTATGGAGCCTTTTCAGAGAAATGTCAGACTCTTTTTTACTAGCAGCGAATAATTTCCGCTAAAGTCTGCGAAGCGATCTCATTTTTCAGAGAGACGAGAATTCGTATGAGTACGACATTTTTTTTATTTATGTCTACAATCATATACCAGTATAAACAATTAAAAAAATCAACGCTAACAAATGCTAAAGGCAAACATATGTGTATACGTATCTATATACGTAAAGTGCCTCTGTTAACGTTAATATATATATATATATATATAAACTTTAACAGAGGCACTTTACGTATATATATATATATATATATATATAAATTTCTCCACTGTATATATCTAAAGCAAATAGAGAATATGCCACCTTTTGCATAAAAAGAATCACAGAACTTTGGAACTTTGCAATTATGAACATCTATTTTAATCATAGAACATTATGTTTGCAGAAATCTGCAATCGATATATAATACTTATTACGAAAGAAGTATCTTTATATATATATATATGTGTGTGTATGTGTGTGTGTGTGAATAACACAATATCGTTTTCTTTTTACTTAAAGATGTGTCATCGACGACCCAGCGTAATCATAAAAAGAATTTTATTTCATTTAAAAAAAGTCTATACTACCTAGACGAAACGTGATTAACTTTAAGAGACCCACTATCAAAACTCATGATTTGGGCTTTAACTCTTTATCGTTATAGAAATTGGAGTATAACTAATTTCACTTTAATTTCTTTATGGTTTAAGTACCCAAAATTATTTTCCGCTAATTTAGTAATAAAGAGAACCATGAAAATGTTGTTTTAGTTTTAATTTCAACTTAATAGATTAAATTTAATATTTCCAATGAGTAAAATACGTTGCCGTATACAAAACGAATTTAAATTGATTGAAAGTAATTCTTATATTTTTAAATCGCTAAAAATTGCTGATTTTAGCCATTTTTGGCCATTTGCTGCACAATGTAACTCTCCTTATTAAAAAAAATATATTTCAAAAATAAAATATACTTTTCTGAAACTTTAGCTGTTTAATTAATCTGATTTGAAACAAATATTATTTACTTTGATTATAAATATCACAAAAAACATTTTTTAACATAGCAGTATGTTTTTATGAGGTGAAACTGCCTGGCAGCCGGAATTTTTTTTTTCTACAGGGAGACATATCTCTAAAATTATTTGACGAATATAAACTATAATTTTTTTTTATATATATATATATATATATATATATATATATATATATATTTAAATACTCGGTAATCTTTAACGTTTAGGAAAATATTCTGAATAATCTAATGTTTTATTGAATTTTTTTCTATAGTTACCGTTCTTATTTTCTGATAATGTCGTATATGAACGTGCCTATTTACATAGATCGGTACATTTATGCACACAAAAGATTCATTTTTTTTTTTAAGCATTTCACCCCAAGCAAGGCGGGAAGCCACTAGGACGCAAGGGGTTACAGAAAATAGCAAGATCAGATAGGAGTGATAGAAGAAAGAATGAGGGTAGTGGATAGATCAAGGCAACTGGAGATGTCGATTGACATTACACTTGAAAAGCTGGAGATTATAGCTCACAGGGAAACAGAAGGGAAGGGAGTTCCACAGGCGAGAGGTACGAGACATGAAGCTATTAGAGTAGAAGAGACGGCTACATTTAGGAGTTTCGACAGTGAAGGGGTGAGAGCGGGATGCCAGACTCGTACGGCGCTGGGACTCATGACGTCTGGGAACCAGCGAATGCAGCTCCTCGGAGCAATTTCCATGAAAGTATTTGTAGAACAAACAGAGAGAGGCGACGGCGCGTCTGTGAGTCGGTGAATTGTATTAAGCTTTTCCATGTATGATTAGATTTTACTTAATAACAATATCGCCTTACCGGCATAGAATAATACAGAATTTTAAAAGATTTAAAACTTTATAAATTATTCTAATTAATTTTTTTGAAAAATGAAAATAATTCTTGTAAAAATTCATTATCCATCGAATGTTATTTTTAAACAATAGCGTCCATAATATTCATAAAAATAATTAGAATTGTTTTTTTTTTTTTTTTTTTCTAATTAAATAATATCGTAGTCATATTGCATTTTTTTTTAATTTACGATTCATGGAAGATTATCTGTAAATGGAAGTCCTGTTTCACTAAAGAAATTAATGATTTAAATTCTCCAAGGACTTCTGCTTAGAAGTAATATAAATATCAAGCGGCACATAAAAGACTTTCTCGAAATTTCATAGAATTAAATTAGTTTAGGGTAACAGATGTAAAATATATATATATATATATATATATATATATAAATTAACCAAGATTTTCTAAGAATGAAATATTTCAAAAATAATTTTATTAATTTGTGAATAAATCCTGGAAGTTTCTTTAAAATCCGACGGTTATTTGATTTTTGTAAGAATTTCCAATTCAACGTGTTTTTCAACTCAAAAAGACGCCAAAATTTCCTAAACTAATTTATGGTGACCCGCTGACTCAAGGAAAGAGATTTAACCAAAATTTCGAAGGTTCTAAAAAGGATTAAAAATATAATTTAATAATCAAAAAGTCCTTTGGTCTTTCCTCTTAATAATAACGTAAGGATTTTAACGATAAACTTTGTTTTTATTAAGTTTGAGGGATTTTTCCGTCATGTAAGAGCTTTTTAATACACATAAAAACAATATTTTGTATTTAGTTACCCATTAATAGCCTTTTTCTCGCCTAGTGATTTTTCAAAATGGGCGTTTACTTATTTTATTTTGAAACAGGCTATCAATGGGTTAATAAATAAAAAAACTTTTTTTTTTCTCAATAGGGTATCCATAGAGAGAAGAAATATTATTCCATTCGTACTTGTACGTCTATGTGATAATATAGGCGGTAATAATAATATCAAATATCAATTATTGATTAGTCGTGTCTAGATTACTTGACATATGTCAATTATATTCAAGCAGCAAGCAAAATATTTACTGTAACTGAAACTGTAAATTAAACTTTATACTTGTTTCTAATCATATGGATTCAGTTCGATATATTTCCATACATTTCCATCCATATATATTCTATGCATACTGGCCACATATGCACCACACTCTTTTGTATGTTGACTTGACACTTGTCGAAACTTTGTGCAATTCGTGTACATATCGATAAACACATCAAAAACAACCAAAATATGGATGTCAATATAAAACAAATATTAGTAGATAATAGCAAAATACTACACAGCATTAAATCCAAAGAAAATCAAAATTCTAGAAACCGTTATTATGCAAAAGAAAAAATGGATTAAAACACATTTCGCTACAGAAGACGCCATTTTGCAGGGTCTGTAAAATATTTGACGTGCATAAAAATAAGAATACTTATAAATATTTAATACACCTTTTTTTCGGTATGGTCTTTTTTCAAGTGACCCTTTTCACTCATGAGATCACTTTGAATTAATTTGCACCCTATCCTTCCACACACACACACACACACACAACATGATGTCACTGCCCCACTGACAATATTCATTTCTTGATAAAGTCCGACATGGTAGAAAGTTCTTGAACTAAAACAGAATAAAACAAGAGCTTCATTCAGTTTATCTACAATTTTGAACCCAATTTCTTACTTTTTCTTGGTGTTCATTACTCATGTTCTTTTCATTTTTCTCCTCAGCCTTATTTTCTTAATCAACGCAATTATTTTTCTTCCAGTTCGTCCCTTCCGTTTTTTTCTTCTATTTCGTCTCTTTCTTTTTTTTTCTTCTATTTCGTCTCTTTCTTTTTTTTTCTTCTATTTCGTCTCTTTCTTTTTTTTTCTTCTATTTCGTCTCTTTCTTTTTTTTTTCTTCTATTTCGTAAAAAAATTTTTTTTTTTCTTCTATTCCGTCTCTTTTTTTTTTCTTCTATTCCGTTTCTTTCTTTTTTTTCTTCTATTTCGTCTCTTTCTTTTTTTTCTTCTATTTCGTCTCTTTCTTTTTTTTTCTTCTATTCCGTCTCTTTCTTTTTTTTCTTCTATTCCGTCTCTTTCTTTTTTTTTCTTCTATTCCGTCTCTTTCTTTTTTTTTCTTCTATTCCGTCTCTTTCTTTCTTTTTTCTTCTATTCCGTCTCTTTCTTTCTTTTTCTATTCCGTCTCTTTCTTTTTTTCTTCTATTCTGTCTCTTTCTTTTTTTTCTTCTATTCCGTCTCTTTCTTTTTTTTCTTCTATTTCGTCTCTTTCTTTTTTTTTCTTCTATTTCGTCTCTTTTTTTTTTTTTTCTATTCCGTCTCTTTCTTTTTTTTTCTTCTATTTCGTCTCTTTCTTTTTTTTTCTTCTATTCCGTCTCTTTCTTTTTTCTTCTATTCCGTCTCTTTCTTTTTTTCTTTATTCCGTCTCTTTCTTTTTTTCTTCTATTCCGTCTAGTTTTTTTTTTTTCTTCTATTCCGTCTCTTTTTTTTTCTTCTATTCCGTCTCTTTCTTTTTTTCTTCTATTCCGTCTCTTTTTTTTTTCTTCTATTCCGTCTCTTTTTTTTTTTTTTATTCGTCTCTTTCTTTTTTTTTTGCCAAAATTTCGTCTCTTTTTTTTTTCTTCTATTTCGTCTCTTTCTTTTTTTTCTTCTATTTCGTCTTTTCTGGACCCGCTTCTTGCAATTTTCTACAATCTGTCTCATCTGTTCCATTTTCTTTATTCTGATTTACGTTTTTTTTTTTTATTGTCCTTTTTTATCATTTCACTCACAAGGAAGGCGATAAAGCCTCTAAGATGCAAGAGATTAGTGACAAAGAAAAAAACAGAGGACAATAAAAAAAAAAAAACAGGGCAGAATGTGGCGACTGACATTTGCATTTACATTTTTTAGGATAACAGAAATCCGGAAGTGTTCCACAAGCGAAAGGTGAAGAAGAAACTATTAACATAGAACTTACGGTTACATCTAGCAACAATAACACGGAAATTATGAGATCTAGCTGACAATTTTTCTAGTACGCTTAAATTCGTGAAGTCAAGGGGCACGAGGGGAAAGCACATCAGAACAATTACCCTGAAAATATTTATAGAAAGGACACAGGGAAGCGACGATACGGCAGTGAGACAGAGACTGAAAAAGAGATACCAGGTCAGAATACCATTACAGATTTTTGGGATTTTTTTCAAGAATCTTTAGACCAAAACAAGATGTAGCAGAAATATCCGAAGCACTGACGAATGGTATACGTATACATCGGCAAGATAGATTCTGGCGGGAAAAACTGTCAAGCACTTCATAGTGAACGGACTTTCCTAGACTTAGCAATTGATTCAATATAATCATTTCACTTCATCTCAGTGGAAAACGTGATACCAAGACGGTGTAATGAGTTACTCTCCTGGAAGTTGGCAATGCTGGGGAGATTACAAAAAATGCTGGGGAAAGTAAAAAAAAAATGCTGGGGAAAGTACAAAAAAAGTACTTTAAGATGATTATTAAAAAGAAGAACCGTTTTGGGGGTATTAAAAATGAAAACTTTCTTGCCCCAAACAGATTGGAAATAATTTTCAAGATCAGTGCATGAAATTGGAAATAAACTTCCGAGGTGTATTATGTGTTATTTTATTTTATTTTTTTATCCTGTGACCCATAGGGTCGTAGGGACACCATGTGTACAGCAGCCACAGTAGAAGCGGTGTTTCTTGGGAAGGATAGCCTGACGGGGCCCAACCATCTCTAGGCCGGTTATGAATGCAGAGTTTTTCCTTCTCCTAGACTGGTTAGAACCTAAGGCTAGAGAACCCAGTTTGTCCTGTTATTTACTCATAGCTGGTTTAGTAGGAAACAGACTGTCGCCTCTGAGCGCTGACTTCAATGCCCACTTGTATATTCACTTTAACCCACAAATATAGCATACCTCAAAACTATATTTAATCATATGGTGGACTCTCTTATCGTGAACGTTAATTGAGGGTCAGCAGTGGATGGTGCCTTTCGTTTTACACTTATGCATGGTAGCAGGGGTTCTTGTGGAGAAAATCAGGTAAGGGAAAGACATATTTCATTTGTGCTTTCTTAAGAGCGATACTAGCCCAGACTTGCTGCGGGCGACAAAGCCATACTGACAGATGAAATTTGTTAAAACAGGATTTTGATGGTGTCTCTGCTTCAGAGGTTGACGAAGCTGATCACGGTGCTTTAGTCTACTGTCTTCAAAAACCCTTTAACTTAACGAAACATGTCTCACGCCACTACTTTCAGTTGTATATATATATATATATATATATATATATATATATATAAAACCGAAAGGGTGACGTAATATATATATATATATATATATATATATATATAGTCATCCACAGAGAGACTGTTTCGTTATTTCACACTCATTAGTGTGACTAGACATCCAACTGCCTCAAGCCGGGATCGAAACCCGACTAATTTGATATCAATCGGAGATTCTATCCTAAGTCATTAGCGAAGGTGAATCTAGACGTATTTATTTTTAGATAAACATGCCAGCGACTGGAGAATTCGATTCGTCTTAACGAAGAGACTTGCATCAAGTTCAGGAGTAATAGTCACTGCTTACAAATTCCTTTTCTCCCCGCCGAAGAGCTCAACCGAAATATTTTTTTCAGGAGCGTATATATATATATATATATATATATATATATATATATATATATATATATATATATATATATATATATATATATATATATATATATATATATATATATATGTTTGAAATATTTCAGCCCGCAGTAAAGTTTACTGTCGTAATACATTTTATGTCCTCGCTTTATTATAATTCACTATTCTTTCCTGGTTAGTCTCTCAAATTAACAAGTAACATCAAAATGACATACTTCAGCACTTCTCTTTAGTCCTATTAGCAAATATTCTGTTATGAGCTTTGCTTTATCCTTTTTTTTTCTGTATTTTTGTTACTTTTTTTTCTTTCTTTCGAAAATGACCTCGGAACAATTTGCTGTCATTGAATAGAAATATCACTTTACACGCCTCAGAAATCTTTCGAGTGACGTCATGTTTTTGTTTATTTGGCGATTCTGATATATTTAAAGTGTCACGTCTACTACTCCTATTAATTCTTTATATACTTACCATGTTGAAACAACGGTTCTTCTATGATCGCCGAAGTTAAGCAATGTCAAGCCTGATCAGTACCTAAATTGGTGACCGCTTGGAATATGTCTGTAGTGTAATGGATGACGACTCAGAATTGGAAATGGGAGAGCCGTGTTCAAATTCAAGTTAGGTTTCTTATATTCATTAATGCGTAAATACCCTTGAAGATTGTGGGAATTCACCTTTTCACCCAGCCTTGGATTAATTAGTAGACCTTTTATCAGTAAATCATTATTATCCCTAGAAAATCCTTAGGATCTAAAGATATTTCCTAGTTTTAAATAATCTGTAAAAGTTTGATAAACTGTAAAAACAGTCAATATACTTCTTTTTATTTATGACCGTGTCGTTTACTAATGGGCGAAGTCGTCTAATAGATCATTGCTGTTGTGTAATAACTTCGATTCTCACTTAGTGCACACTGTTTTTAACTTTTATTGGAACAAGCTAAGATTATTAGAAATCTATAATCCTGTCGTTTTATCTTGTTCGTGTTGGATTAAATTACTGATCATTAGCAATTTTAGAATATCTTTATTATTAAACTCACAGAGATGCATTGGCAATGGTGAGATCGACTGTTTCCATGCAGGAAACTTTCGTCATTCATTGACTGAATATTTAGCGTTACGGTCGGTTGAAATTTACGACATTTCTTTCTTAAATAAAACTTATTGAGGGAAATGGTTTTCTCGAGTCTTCTGTTAGCAATGTTGTCAAAATGTTTGGAAGGAAACTTCCATCACTACCGAACATTTTGGTCTTTGGTAGTGTGGAGAGTTAACAACTGAATTATATCGCTTATTTTCCCTCTTAGTTACAAATGCTACCCATTTTTGTTGTCGGGTCTGTTGGAAGTCTTCAGGTGATGTGGTTTTTGCTCTTTGGGATTTTATAGCGCCAGTCTGTAGATTCTGATGAAGTCATGTTTTCTTTAATTGTATTCTTGAAATGAAACGTTTTGAATAATTCACGCGATAACGCTGTTCCTACCCAGTAAAAATCCACTTTATATTCTGAAATTCTCTTCTCTGATGTAAATATCAGACAGCAGTTCAATGGTGCCGCAGACCAGCACGAATATATCTTCGTATACTTAGAAAAACACATCAACTCGCAAATGATAGAAGGACATAGCCGCACATCCCTTTTCAGTTCCCGCTGCTTTTCGCAATTTCAGTGTCTGCTTATGAGAATATAGATAAATCTTGCGTAGTTGTCTTTCCGACAGGAAACAAAAATGAACCCATGCTGGAAAAATTGCATTACTTTCTTTACTTCGGTAACCTGCTTAGACGCATTTCAGAGATTCATAGATTTTAATAAACGCTGTCGTTCTCTCATCTATTCAGCAACTTTTCTTATTTGCATCGAGGCTAGCACCTAGCCAGAGAGATGTACATAAAATCTTACACTTTGCCTACAAATCGACTTATCCTTCTTATGCAACTTTTTCATTCTTTCTATTCCTTCAATTTTTCTCTTTTTCCTTTGGACTGTTTTTGCGTATTCTTATCTTAGTTTCAAATATTTATCTTTTTTCATTCTTCTTTTACCTTCAACTCTTTCTTTATTGATTTGTTTTACTTCAATCTTTAATCTTTTTTCCTTCAATTATTTTTCTATTTTCATTCATCTATTTCCTTCAACTCATTCTTCATTTTTTTTTCTTTTACTGATTTTTCATTCTTCCTTTTCCTTCAATTGCTTCTCTTTTTATTATTATTCTTTTTCCTTCAGTTCTTTCTCTTTTTTACTCTTCTTTTTCCATCAAGACATTTTTCTTTGTTTTCCTTGAAGTTTTTCCCTTTTAATCTTCTTTTCTTTCAACTATTTCTCGTTTTCATTCTTCTTTTTCATTTAACTCGTTTTTCAGTGTTATTCGTACTTTTCCTTCAACTCTCATCTCTCTCTCCCTTTGTCAGTCTTCTTTTTCCTTCATCTCATTCTCCCTTTGTCAGTCTTCTTTTTCCTTCATTTCATTCTCTCTTTTTTAGTCTTCTTTTTCCTCCATCACATTCTCTCTTTTTCCGTCTTCTTTTTCCTTCATCTCATTCTCTCTTTTTCAGTCTTCTTTTTCCTTCATCACATTCTCTCTTTTTCCGTCTTCTTTTTCCTTCATCTCATTCTCTCTCTTTTTCCGTCTTCTTTTTCCTTCATCTCATTCTCTCTCTTTTTCCGTCTTCTTTTTCCTTCATCTCTCTCTCCCTTTTTCAGTCTTCTTTTTACTTCAACTCATTCACTCCGCTATATTCACCCTTCTAGGCAGATTTGGCTTTATTTTATCACTATTTCCTTCTTCGCCAACATAATTTTCATTTATTTCTTTTGTTTCTCTTCTCATGGTTTCATAGTTTCCTTTTTCCTTTATATTTTTGGTACTTTCTCCCTATTATACATTTATACTTCACCCTCGAATTCTATTGTACTTCTGACACCATCTTGTAGGTTTTCCCTCAACTTCTTCCAAATCTTTCATTCTCCATCTTTGTTGGCTTTATTTTTTCTTCTCCAATCTTTTAGACAATCTTATTGATTTTATCTTCGTCTCATTGTTTGATTTCTTATTTTCATCTTAAATTTATCTTATCGTCTTCATTTTAATTGCTATTCCTCGTCTTCTTTAGATTAAAATCTTTATCCTCTTTATTCTTTTTCATTCTAATCTTCTTCAGTTTCTCCCTCTCCTCTTCTACTTTACTTTCCGTTTGTCGTCTTTTTCACTTATTCATTATATTCTTTAATTTTCTTCCTCGACTTACGCCACTCCTTCTTTACATTTTCGTTTTCCTCGATAATTTTTCTTTCGCATCTTCTTCATCTTCAGTTTCTCATTCTCGTCTTATGGCTTTACTCTTCTCGTCATTTTTTAGTATTTGTATTTCTGAATTCTTATTCGTTGTCTACTTTCTTTCCCCTTCCTCGTTTATTTTCTCGCTTTCATATTGTTCTTTGCCTTATCTTCCGCGTCTTCTATACTTTCTCTTCTTCTTAAATTTTCTTCTTCTTCTTTACTTTTTTTTCACGTTATTTACTTTCTAGTCCTGGTCTTCTTTCTTTTCTTCGTCTTTTCATTTTGTCTGCTTTTTCTTCTTCTTAATGTGTCTTCTTATTATTTACTTTCTCTTCATTTTCTATAATTTTCTTTTATTCTCCTCTTTATTATCTTTTTCTTGTCTTTAAATTTTATACTTCTTCTCCTTAATGTTTCTTCTTCTTACTTTCTTTTCTTCTTTACACTTTTTTCCTTGTTTACTTTAATTTCTCTTCTTCTTCTTCTTCTTCTTCTTCTTCTTTGATTTCTTTACTTTTTGTCCTTGTTTTCTTTAATTTCTCTTCCTTTTCCTTAACTTTGTTTTTTATTCGTTGTCTTCTTTACTTTCTTTTCTTCGTCTTCACCATTTTCTTCACTTTTACTTT